CATAGTATAGGCCAGAGATGCAGGAGCAGTGAGAGGGTTCACCAGAGACAGTGGGGAGCAGAACAGGCAGATCAATGAGGTACACTGCTGAGGGGAGCAGTGGGCAGGTCAGGAGAGATCTGACCCACCATGTGGGTCACCTCCAGGGCCAGGGATCGAACTCACACTGAAGTGGCGGTGGCCAGCTTAGCAGTACTGAGCTCCAACTCGCTGCACCACCATGGAGGGCCCATATTCTGGTATTCTGAAGTCAAAACATAAAACACAAGCTTTTGCTGAGAGAAGATGAGGTGTTGGGAAATGTTTAGCATCCAAGACAATCACAAAGTTTGGTCTTGAAGGGCAGAACTGCTAAGTGAGCAGCTGACGGGGACTACATGGTAGACCACAGTGGACCCTGTCAGCACTGATCTGACCACACCAGCTTCTCCAGCTGGGCATGTTCAGGGACCCATGTTCCCACACTTGAGAGCACACCCTTTATTATCTCCTATGAATGCGCCCTTAGGCTACTTCTCTCTAAGTCTGCGCTTCCCCATCTATAACTACAGAATAACTACATACCCTTCTAGAGTTTGATAAAGATCCAATAAAACAATATATGTTGGAGAATTCACACCATGTTAGACAATTAGTTCACACCATTAAGTGTCCATTGTTGCTCTTGAGACTTGTTTTAATGGGGGGACAGAGCAGAGAAGAAACAGCCTCACTGCACTAGAGAATGGTGGCTCTACTGTTCACAGACAGGCTCATACTCTTCTTCCTGCAGGTCGACAAAGGTATCCCTTTATCCAAGGGAGCTTTAGGGATCTAGATGAAAAAGCCACAAGTGGCTTCCCCACTCTCAAGCCACAGCCATGTCAGGTCATTCCTCAAGGTCAAATATGCTCAGTAGAATTGTTACAGGGTAGCCCAGAGTGAATTGGGCCACCTGTATGTGGGGCCTCACCCGCACGCTCACAACTCAGTTATACTGCAGGCACACACAAAAGGGTCAATAATGGATTTATTTACAAAAGAGGAAAGGAATAGGAAACAACCCAAGGAAAGAGAGCGGGACACAAAGTAACTGCAATGCCTTACGGCTAGGCTGACTGAACATAGAGTCACATGGCCAGGAGAGCTGCTTCCTGAGCAAGAGAGAGCACGAGATGCAAGCGCTCCCTATTTATTCCCCAAATGTCCCAGAATTCCTGCTAGCTCCGCCCTTGGGTCCTCGCAGTTCTCTCCCTGGTACTGCTGGGAGTTGTAGTTTCCAATCACTGGAGTAGGGTGTAAGGTCCAGAAAGCTGGAGTAGGGGGTGGAGTCCACAAGACTTTGCAGACTTCCTTTAGGACATCCTTCCCCTTAACAGAACCCTCTCCTTTAAGTTCCAAAGTGAAGTTGCTTTGAGTGCCAAGTAACAATAATGTGAGTTAAAGTGGCTTAAAGCATAAAGATGGACATTGGCTCCCACAGCTGAGGAGGCCCACAGTGGGGTGGTGAGTGACTCAGCAGGGTTATGCCCTGTCAGCCAGCCTCTCCTGTCCTTCTCCATGCATTGCCCCAGTCTGACTGTGAAATAGTTGCAGTAGTTCTTGGCCTTTCATCTCACTTAATGTTCTTCAAAGAAAAAGAGCAACAGCCGGCCTCTCTGGTGGTGCAGTGGTTAAGTCCCAGTGCTGTTAAGCTAACAGAAGCCACTGCAGCCTGAGCTTGATCCCCAGCCACGGAGGTGACCACATGGCGTGGCAGACCTCTCCTGGCCCACCCACTCGCTGTTCCCCTCAGCAGTGTATCTCAGGAGATCTGCCTGTTTTGCTCCCCACTCTGTCTCTAATGAATCCTCCCGCCGCCCGCCACCGCCACCATACCTCTGGCCTGTACTCCAGTTCTTCTATGCATAAATAAATAAAATAAAGCAACAGTAAGTCCTGAAACTTTCTGGTGAAAAATGGAAGTTCATTTCCTAGAGCCTGCTAGTCCACTTCTCATCCCATTTCATTGGCTTAAATTTGGTTTCATGATTCTTTATAGGCCAACCCCTATTGGTACCAATTGGCTTCATCTGGGCACTGGGCCTGATCAAATCACTGGAGCAATAGAAACATGATAATTTGACAAGTTTTGACTAAATAGAGCCTATCCCTGGAGCTCAAGTCAACCCCAAGCCTCAAGGCTGCAGAGGGAGAGGGCTGGAGCGAGGTGGGTGTTGAGAAGCTATCATGTCCAGCGTCTGCCGATACTGATACTTACACCATCGCTTTCCATTTAGAAAGCAATCATAAAACGTGTGTCGTGTGCCAGGCAGGGTGCAAGATGCTGGGACAAGACGCCCCAGGTTGTTGAGAGGAAAAAATGAGCCAACTTAGGCAAAGTGCAGCTCTCAGTCCCTAATACCTGCTCAGTGTTGTCTTCATTAACATGAATAATGCATGAACACTCCCCATCTTCCAGGAGAGGGACTTAAACAAATAAATTCTAGTAGTGTGCAGAGTGCCAAGAGCAGTCTCGAGATGGCAGAAAGGACAGGGATCATATGAGGAGTTTGCAGAGGCCAACTTCAAGAAGCTTGCAGCCCAGCAGTTTCTAACCTTGACTTCTCCTTTGCTTCATTGGAGGAGCTTTTAAAACCACCCATACTACTGTAGTTAAGTCAAAATCCTAGGGTAGGATTCACCAGGTTCAGTTTGTCCTTTGAAAAAACCCCGATGGCCCTCCCTGGTGGCGCAGCGGCTTAAAGCACTGCACTAAGAAGCTAAAGCCACTTCCGCATGAGTTCAATTCCCGCCTGCCCCGGAGGTGACCACATGGCGTGGCAGACCTCTCCTGACCTGCCCGCTGCTCCCCTCAGCAGTGTACTTCATCGATCTGCCTGTTCTGCTCCCCACTCTGTCTCTGGTGAACCCTCTCACCCTCCACATCTCTGGCCTGTACCCCAGTTCTATATGAATAAATAAATACATCTTTAAAAAGAAAGAAAGAACCCCGATGATTTAATTGTGCATTTCAGGTGGAGAACTGAAACTATTAGGACCAGGTGAGTCTCAGCGTGGGGAGAAGGTGCTTTGGGATGGGGCTAAGGCCTGGGAGACAGCATGGGCTTATGGAAGCTTTCTGTGAGCAGCAGGTGACAAGGGGCTGAACAACAGTGAAGGACTGGTAGGACTTGCTCAATCTTGCACTAATCCTCAGTGTAAGGAGGAGTGGATGTGAGCAAAGTCACATGTGCAGATTGAGAGGGTGGATCGTTCTGGCATCCATCAGGAAAATGAAACCACCAAGTAATTTCAACAGGGAAATATAAAGAATTATTAACTATGACAGGATTGGAATAATGAAGGCTCGGCTGCTAAGAAGTAGAACAAACTCTGAAGAATATAGGAATGTAGCTATCAGAAAATCTACTATGCCCAGAGCTAAAGCAGGGCAAGGGTGATCCCCCCAGCATCCAGCTTGAGGAACAGACTTTGTTGGGCACAGTGTGACTCTCTGAAGGGCAGAGAAGCCACTGTGATGTCATTCTGGCAGACCTTGCCAGAAATCTGTCTTATGGGTTGCTGGGGAGAGCTGTTCACAAGTAGGTGTCTCTCTGGGGCACCTTTGCTGTGAAATCACTGCAAGCGGCCCTCCCTGGTGGCACAGGGGGTTACAGTGCAGCACTGTGAAGCTTGCCGCAGCCACTACAGCACGAGTTCGATCCCCAACCAGGGAGCTGACCCACAAGGCATGGGTCTCCTGACCTGCCCCTTGCTCCCCTCAGCAGTGTACTTCATAGATCCGCCTGTTCTGCTCCCCGCTCTGCCTCTGGTGAATCCGATCACTGCTCCTATACCTCTGGCCTGTACCCCAGTTCTTGTACACATAAGTAAGCTGGGGGAATGGGCTGGCCATGCATTGCTGTGGCCATGGGGAAGTGCTCCTGCTGAGCGAACACAGGAGAACCAGGAGACAAAACCCAAGAATTCTTCTCTACAAAAAATGGCAGCTCGAATGGTTGCAGACCCTTCTCAGGCTTCTCTGACAAGGCTGGAGTTCAATCTAGGTCCATCTTTCCTATGTGTTCTGCAACCTCTCTAAACAAACACAAAGCTAAAATCTGTCAGTTCAGGCTGCCTAGAGAGGAAGGGGTTCTGTGTGCAGCAAATTTGGACATTCTGAAGGCAGGGGGACTTCAAATGAACCTTGGGGAAATCCTATTTGGAAAACTAGATGAAAATGGGTAGGGGTGAGGGGGAATGTCTTCCAGGCTCAGTTTGCAAGAGAGCATGGACATACTTACCTGCTACAGAGTGGGCCCAAGCTCAGACAGGACTCAGCTCAACCAGCTGAGAGAATAGTAGAAACCCAGAGTCAAGCAATGTGAAGAGAGTCAAAAGTAGAACAGAATAAAGGATTCCATCTATACCAAAGAACTTGAATTTTAGGGAATGCAAAACAGCTCCTGGCTAGAAAGCCAGGGCCCATCACTGTTGTGTTTCTAGGATGACTTCACTGAATTTCCCTGTGGGCTACAGGAGAGCAGATGCCAGCTTGGGAGTCAGAGAGACCAGGACTAATGTGCCAGCTCTGGTGTTTAGCTGTGTCCTGGGCAAACCCCTCAACCTCTCCCAGCCGTAGGGTTCTCCATGTGTCTGTTGGAAGTGATGATGCCCTCTCTCGGGGTGGCACCCATACAGCCTGGCACCGAGCAAGCCTGAAATCAGTGGTTGTTTCCTCTCCCTCCTATTTTTACTCTGTAAGTCCTTCCTTTCCTTGAAGACTGTTCCTGCCTCTGAACACTTTTTTCTTTTAATTCAGAAATTCCAGATTTCTAAATCAAGTGCTGCCAGGGAGTCCCAAGGCCTTGGCTGCTGTGATTGAGATTCTGGTCACAACTTCCTACTGGGAAAAGAAAGTTCCCACAGGTCTAGGGGAGGCCATAGTTTGTGCCTGGGTTCCTGGGCAGATGGTGCCTTGGGATGATGCTCCATAGCCAATCTCCAGGGGAAATTAAGTGTACTTCTTTATCTTCTAGGAGGAGAAGTCACTAAACCTCGGTTTGCACAGTTCTTCCACGGCAGCCTGGCCAGTCTCACCATCCGCCCTGGCAAGATGGAAAGTCAGAAGGTGATTTCTTGCCTGCAGGCCTGCAAGGAAGGACTGGATATTAATTCCCTGGAGAGCCTTGGTCAAGGGATAAAGGTAAGGAAGGAGCTGGCATGACATCATCCCAGTAGGATCACCCAGCTCCGTGCCCTCCTGGAAACAACTCGTACAGAGATGGTCCCACAGCAAAGGTGCTGCTGTGGGGGAGATTAGGGACAGTCACTTCTACAATGGGCTTCCATCTCCTGAAATTCCTAGGTGAAGGCTTTGTATGTAATCAGTGCACTACACAAAAGCAGGCGCCTGTGGAATGCCTGCAGGGGAGCAGTGATCCATTTCATTTGTTGGGAGATTGGTGGCTTTGTTGTTTACTTGCCTAAAGGAAGTGAAGTAGCATGCAAAAATGCAGTCAAAGATATTTTCTTTTCTTTTTTTTCAAGATTTATTTATTTATGCATACCGAAATGGGGTACAGGTCAGAGGTGCAGGGGTGGTGAGAGGCTTCACCAGAGACAGAGTGGGGAGCAGAACAGGCAGATCGACAAAGTACACTGCTGAGGGGAGCAGCAGACGAGACAGGAGAGTCTGCTGCTGCTCCCAGGGTGGGATCGAACTCACAGAAGTGGCCCCGGCTTGGCTTAGCTTCGAGGTGCAGCGCTCCAACCCGCTGCGCCACCAGGGAGGGCCACAAAGATATTTTCAAAAATAAAGAAGTCTTGAACCATGTAAAATAAAATTAGAAAGGAAGGTTAACGGGGTGGGTGGAACTAGACCGCAGATAAGGAGGTCAGGGGGTCTCACGTTGTTGAGGCACAGCTTGGGCTCCGAGCAATCTGGTAGCAGAGGGAATGTGAGCAGATATCCATGGTTTGTGTTGTCCATGCAAAATAAAATATTTCGAGTGATCCAAGAGAATCAAAACTACATTCTGAGAAAAGCTAATCCTGAGAGGACAGCATGAGTCCCACTGTGCCCCTTGCCCTCAGGGCCACTCTGGACCTTAAGAGCACCTGCTAGCTTTGGGCCTTGGGCACCTGAGCAAAGAGCAAGGTGGACATCAATGTGCCCCCTCCCCTCAGTCATAATGGACCCAGTGAGAGAAGGCAGGCCTCAGCCTCCAGAAGTTGGGTTACCCCCACTTTCCCCCAGGACACAGGCTGCCCCACAGGGCATCACAGCTGCCCTGAAGGTTTCCTTCTTGGCCATTTCCTAGGGAGAGGGGGACCAGGACAGGGGGTTCCCTGGCTGCCTCCCATGCCCCAGTGAGGCTGCCCATGGGGGTCTGCGTGTCCTGTCTGCCCCACTGGAGGGGGCCTCACCCTCCATGTTACGTACAACCTGTTGATGGGTTTGGAGGACTCCGGTGCAGGGTAGCTTGGGAAATATCTGTGACTTGAGCTTTTCTTAGAATGTAGTTTGGGTTCTCTTGGATCACTCGAAATATTTTATTTTGCATCATGCTTTTCTTTAAGTCACTTTAGCTAGTGTTCATGGACACTCATGTATTTTCTGCACAGAGTAAAGTGACACAAATGTGCATTCCAAGGTTGTCTTCAGGGAACTCGTGTCCAGCAGACATGGGTCGTTCAGCATGTGATTACGGTGACTGTGAGCATTAGCATTTCCTGAGGATCCCCCAAGTGCCAGGGACTGTAATGTTTCATGGGTATTAACACAATTAACCCCAAAACAATGTTCTGTCAAAGGTACCACAAATAGTCTCATTTTACAGATGAGAAACCGAGGACTGGAAGTAAAGGAAACTTTCTCTACAAGCCTAGAGATGATAGGGAGTAGAGCCAGATTTTTTAAAATTAAATTGATTAATTTATGTATCTGTTTACATTACTGTTTACATTACATTTTAAGACAATGTTTACTTCCTCCTCCCCTAGTTCACCTGCCTGTTATCAACATCCCCCCTCTTCTCTCCCTTCCGATCTCTCTTCCTCCTCTTCCCCTGTAGGATAGCTCTTATTTGTAATTATCTGTTCAAATTTGTTGTGTTTTGTATTGTAATAACAATACAAATTTTCCCCTATGTCTTATTTGGTTCTCTTATATTCCTCCTATAAGTGAAACCATTTGATATTTTTCTTTTTCTTCCTGACTTATTTTACTGAGCAGTAAGGAGCAGAACCAGATTTTGAGCAACAGAATCTGGGGGTATAACACTTAGGAAGGGTTCCTTGAAGGAGTTAAAAATCTGTGCAGAAGTTTCCAGAGAGGAAAAACCTGGGGGTTGGAGAGAAGGCCAGGGGAGGGAAGAGTGACGCATCTCTACAGAAAGATCCAAGAGCATGAATCAAGTTAAAGGGCTGAGAAACTGGGGTATGCACTGTGACCCCAAGAAAGTCAGGGTTCACAAGGATAGAACATCGCAGAGGGTAAGGTGAAGCACCTGCCCAGAGAGGTAGGCAGAGCCACACACCATGGCGGCTTTTGACTTGATTTCGGTGTTGACATTTTTTTCCCCTAGAGGGAACAGGCTTGAGGGTAGGTAGTTTGATCCAGGTAGGGATGGGGGGCTTGGTGTACTGGAGACTGGGTCAGGGAGGGAGATGGGGGAACACAGGTAGCAAAGTAAAGCAAGATGTTCATTGCACATTATTTAACACTTGCTACTGAAAGAAACAGACTACCTCAGTTGGAAAGTCTGACTTTACACCAGTCCATTTATGACAAGCTCTTCACAGCACATGTCAGTCCAAGAAACCTCACTCGCAGAGCCTGGGTGGGATTGATCTTAACCTATTGCTGGTGTTACCTGAGTGTGCTGTCAACCCCATGAGGCAGGAATTCTTCCTCCCCTTTCTGCCTGGCTCAGAATTTGCTCTCTGCCTCTAAATAATGTTCTCTGCGCTGGACCATCCATGGTGCCACTAGGGATGGCCATGTAGAACCTGTAGGTCTCCAGCACTACACAACAAATAAACCAAAGATGTTGCACCTAAGGCCACACAGACTTACAATCTCAGTTAAGAACCATAGCCTCCTGGTGACGCAGGGGTTAAATCTCAGTGCTAGCAAATTGTCAACAGCACTGCAGCACAAGTGCTATCCCCAGCCAGGGAAGTGACCTACATGGAACAGCAAATCTCTCCTGTCTCCCCCGCTGCTCCCATCAGCAGTGTATTTCAGTCAATCTGCCTGTTCTACTCCCTACTCAGTCTCTGGTGAGTCCTCTCACCACCTGGACCTCTGGCCTAGACCCCGTTAAATCATAAATAATAATAATAAAAAAAAAGGAACCATAGCGATTTCTGCATCGAATTACAACCTATGAAAAGAGGAGGCACTAAAAAGCTGTGAGGTGGCACCCCAGTGAGAATGGCACATTTAAAACAACTAGCAACAACAAATGTTGGTGAGGATGTGGAGAAAAAGGAACTCTTCTGCACTGATGCTGGGACTGCAAACTAGTACAACCACTATGGAAAACTGTTTGGAGGTTCCTCAAACTGCTACACATGGTGCGACCCAGCAATCCCACTCCTAGGTATCTACCCAAAGACACAAAAACACTGATTGAAAAAGATACCTACACCCCCATGTTTATTGTTGTTTTATTCACAAATGAAAAGACATGGAAACAACCCAAATGCCCAAAAGTAGATGACTGGATTAAAAAGATGTGGACACAATGGAATATTACTCAGCAACCAAAAAAAGGAAACACATGTCTTTTGCAGCAACTTGGATGGAGCTGGAAAAGATCATGCTGAGTGAGCTAAGGTAAGCCAGAAAAAAAAGGAAAAGTACCAGATGGTTTCACTCATAGTAGGAGTATAACAGACCAGGAGAGAAAGCAATAATGAACATCTGTATACCAGAGATATTTTATAGGGGTAGAGTGGGGAATTTGATCAAAAACAGTGGGGAAGGGAAATGCACTGGACTATGGTGATGGCACATGGGTGATTTGGTGATGGGAAGCCCACGGGGATTACAACTGAGATGGAAACAGGCATAAATGATGTAAAAATAAACTATATATATATATATATATATATATATATATATATATATATATATAAGATTGCCTAAGATTAGGCTTGTGATGTACCAAAAAAAAAGCTGTGAAGTGGGCGGCACTCGCCACCTCTCAAGAGGCCCCTGCTCATCTCCCATTCCAGCAAGGGTCCTTCTCCCTCCTTAGGCTGCTCCAGAACTGGAGCACTGTGCAGAAGATGCACAATTTAAAGTGCATCCAGGGGAGGTGATTTAACTTCATTTTCTCTACTCCTCAAAGCAAATTAAATATTACGACCCCATTATAGAAATCAGATTGGCGCACAGGGAGCTGTCCAAACTAGCCCATACTCTTTCTCCATACCAGCAGCTCAGAGTAAAAGCCCTTCTTAGAAAATTATTAAAATTACCTTCCTTCCTGCCCTCTCTCATTTCCCCCTTATTTCATTTCTGAATAATGCCTATTTTTCTGACTGGTTCCTGGCCTCCACCCTCACTCTGGCTAATCAAAAGCGTGTCCTTCTGTGATTAAGAAAACATCCTGTCTGCTCACCAAGTTCAGTATGGATTCCTCCTTTTACTTGTTTGCTCCTGGATGATGCATGTTTCTGAATATTTCTCCAGTAAGTCAGGAGTCATTACATTGTTGGTTGTCACTGTTCTGTGTCCATACAAGATGCTGTGGAATACCCACGTTCCTGAAGAGCACCCTGTTCTGATTTTCATTCCACAGTGTGGAAGAATAGGAAAGAGCTCTGAGACAATCTGCTGCTAGGTTCACATCAGATATTAACTAATGGGATGGTCTTGGGCAAGGTACTCCAACCCCAATACCCTCAGATATAAAATGCACTTAATATTACCTTATAGTGAATCAAATATAAGTATAGATAAGATTCAGGACTAACACAGTAGCAATAGAGATCTCCCCTAACAAATCTAATAATCAAGCTCTCAACATATTACAGTTCCCTTCTGCTGAGTTGGATTTGCACTTGGCTTTGCTGTTGTCCAGTTTTTTCTAGAAGGTAAACCTGGATAACAGTTGTGACAGAGGAGCCGGTAACATGGTAAATCTTCCTCTGGCCCAGTCCAGAGGGGCTGGCTGATGCCAGAGGATAAAAAGGTGCATGGCATGCCCTGGCCAGCCTGACCTCAGGAACAGGCCAGGAGGATGGGTCAGGAACTTCTCTAATGACCCAGTCTGTGAGGTGACTTGTGACCCCCCAGGCAACTTCTGAGGAGAGCAGAGCATACTGCAAGACCATCTGTGTTCTGTTTTCAAAGGGCAGAATCACAATGACTACAGCACCACTTCTCAGAAGAGAACAAGGGAGGTCACCTTTTCTGGGCCCTGAAGTAGCATCTCTTGCCCCTGCAGTAATGCCTATAATCCCGGTGTCCTACAACCAGAGGCACAAGCTCAGTCCTGCCCCAGGACTGGAAACACTGCAGCTTAACTAAACAACAAAAACCTAGCTAAGTGGAAGGTTTTGTTGATTGTGTAAGAACTGTGGAATGACTAGGCCAATGTCCACTTTCATGCCGGGTGTCAACCTCTGGGGAATCCACACTCCCTAGCTGCAACAGCCATTACCACAATCTTCCCCTAGGTGGCAGCAGTGGTACTGTACCCCTGCAAATTGCCAGGCCATGCTGCAGCAACCCCCTGGAAGTACTGCTTGAATTTTCTTTTGGTGACTGGAAAGAAAATCTCACGGAGAGTTAGACAATTTAATAGATAGTCAAAGTGATGATTCCAACCCAAGACACAGTCTGAGGATTTCACTCTGTGACAAGCGTACCAACAAATGCAAGTTTGGATTTAGTTTATATAAGTAGGAAGAGTGAGTCCTGAGATTTAAAGTGTAATTATTCTTAGCAGGGGAGCCTCTAGTTCTAAGTTGTTCCATCCTAAAGATAGGCTCTTGCTACCAATGCACAGAGAAAAGCAAGGTGGGGTTTAACCTCTTCCTTTCTAAAGAAAGCACTGTAGCGATGCAAAGGCTGGGTACCCATTGTTAAATCTCCTTGATCTGGCTCCTTGGTTCTGCAGTAGGAGTGAAAAGACTGGCTTTATCTGCAGGCTTCAGATTTTGCACAGCGGTTTCAGACTTCAAGGCTGTGCTGATGGCTTTGCTCTCCTATCTCCCAGAGCAAGGAGGGGTCATTTTCCAGAAAATTTTACAGTGTGCCCAACTGTTCAGCTGTCACATGAGGCTTAGAGATCTTCCTCCTCTGCACGACTTCAGCCTGGTCTTGTGTTTAGTGTGGTGTGATGCCCTGTGGAGATGCTAAGGAGAAGTCAGTCTACCCTGCCCTCAAGGGTTCACAGCCTGCTGGTGGAAAAACTCTGACTGACACACTACACCAGCACCCCGAGGCTACGCTAGGCAGGAGTGGTAGCAGTGGTGGGGGAACATAAGTGGAGTTTTAGAAGAATGACTCTAAACCAGCTCAAGTCTGAAAGGACTGCCTGGTGAAACACTCTGAAGGGGTGATGATTTGCCAGCCCATGGCAACTCCGTGACTGGGCACCTCAGCCCATGAGTCTTCCACCGCAAAGGGAAAGCCAACCCAAAGGCTGCCTGGGGCACTGCTGGTGTATGTGACTGAATCCAGCCCAGGAAGTGGTTCTTGTAACGGACATCCAGCTCAGAGTGGCTCTCCCTGCTCAGAGTTTTGAGAGCGGAGGAAGTGGGTCACAGGAATAGAAGAAAAATGAAGACAGGGGAACTACCAGCATAGGCAAAGAGTCAGCACTGAAACAACTGCAGTACTAAGAATTATAATGGGCCCTCCCTGGTGGCACAACAGGTTAAAGCACAGCACTGCAAAGCTAGGCACAGCCGCCTCAGCACAAGTTCCATCCCCGGCCAGGGAGGTGAACTACGTGACATGGCAGACCTCTCCTGACCCGCCCGCCGCTCCCCTCAGCAGTGTACTTCATTGATTTGCCTGTTCTGCTCCCCACTCTGTTTCTGGTGAATCCTCTCACTGCCCCTTTACCTCTGGTCTATACCCAAGTTCTGTATGCATAAATTAAAAAATCTTTAAAATAAATAAAATGCATGTACTTTTTGACCTGGCATTTACATTTAGGTATTAATTCTACAGCTACATTTACACACTTGTGAAATATTATATGTGCAAGTTTATTCAGTGTGGCATTGTTAGTAAGAGATTAGAAACAATCCCAATGTCCTTAGAATGGAATATTATATTGCTGTTATTTAAAAAATTAAGGAATAATGTAATGATATAGAAAGACCTCCAAGATATGAGCTGAGTGAAAAAGCAAAATATAATACAGTATGTAGTAACACACCTTCAGTGTAAGAAAGGCAAAAAATGGAAATCAATATAAATTGATTAGACAGTCATAAGAATGCTTAAGTATAGCTGTCAGAAATGGCTAGATTATGTTGCAGTAATGAAGTAAACTAAAAATTTAGTTGCTTAAGCAACAAAGTATTTCTATTCATATTCTGTGTTTATGATAGATAGTTGAAGCTCTGATCCTGATCCATACAGCATTCCCACCACAAGATCTAGATTGATTGCAGGTTCTGGGGCAGACGAGAAGGTGACAACAAATCAGTAACTTCCTGTTAAATTTCCCACATGGGTTTACATCAAATAGTACTGGTCAAGCAAGTCACATGACCACTACTGAGTTTAACAGGAAAATGCAGATCTTGAAAAGGGACCATAATCTCAGGATTGAGCCTGTTGACAGTAGCGCAGGCATGAAAATTTCCCCCTGGGAGGGGAAGCAACTTGTTATGAGCAGTAATGCAATGTGTCTCTCAGAAATCAATGTAACAGTAACAATCTGTCAGGGCTGTGGAAACTAAATGGATAAGAGATAGAAATAAGATGTACATTTTTACTTTATTAATTATCTCTCTAGTCTATATCTCAACCATATGAATATATTTATTCTTCAAAAAGTAAATAAGTGTCAAGTAGCTATGTTTTCATTGGATGAGCTATGTTTTCAAAGGATGAGTTCTCTCATCCTTTCTTCCCTTCATTGAGACATGAGCTGACATCATGAATAATGTTTCTGACATCTTATGGATAACAGTTCCTAGTAATTATTGCTCAGGGTGTCGAGATCAGTAACTCAAACAAGTACAAAAGTAGTTCTCCAAGCCCCATTTAAAGAAGAGTCAATGTGGGGAGAGAAGCCCAAGCCCGTGCCTGGTGCCTCAGTGGGGACCACACAGTCCCCTGGGCCTTTGCCAAGGAAGAGACATCAGGGACTCAGGAATGGACAGATAGCACACCTCAAGCAGCAGGTAGGTATATACATAGCAAATGAGTAAAATACATGGGAAACCAGAGTTTAGCACCAAGAAAACAAGACCAACAATCAAATCTAAGAGAGAAGGAAAGCCTTTAGCTAGAAAGCAAGCTTCAAGGTTGCAAGCTAAGAAGATGGGGGCAGTCAGAAGTAGACAGCAGGGTGAATGGAAGGGCAGTTCAAGGCCAGAGACAAGATAGAGTGAAAAAAGCCAAAACCCCGGGATTGTGGGCTGGGCACAGAGGGAGTGGAAGGGGGTTGAGTGACCCCCTGGTGAGGACCCCACAGATGCATGGTTCACCTCTAAAGGCCCACGGCATTACCATGACTCTGGTGTCTGGGATCGCAGAATCCCATCCTGGACTGATATTTAGGGGAGTATATCATCCTCAGGGGACTCCACAGGGAGGGTCGCAAAGCCCCCAGAGGGAAACAGGAATAGCTTGGGGTGTCAAGCCCTTCCGCTGTTTACACAAGTGTTAAACTAGTGGATGCTTTTCGAGATGACTGTGCTGGCCTCAGTGGCCTTTTCCTGGAGATGAGGGTTTGTCACCGCACCCATCACTCTGCCCTGTCTTCCAGTATCACTTCAACCCCTCCCAGTCTGTCCTGGTGATGGAAGGGGACGACATCGGGAACATCAACCGTGCCCTCCGGAAGGTGTCCTACATCAACTCCCGGCAGTTCCCGACAGCTGGTGTGCGGCACCTCAAAGTCTCTTCCAAAGTCCAGTGAGTGGTTGCTGGTCCGCCTGGGGCCGACAGAGGGGTCTGGGGGTGTTCCCTGGCAAAACAGGATTCCCCTTTCTTCAGCTGTTGGCAGTTTCGTTTCTCACCCTATTGGGATGTGCCTTTGGACTTGTGTTCTACTTTTTGTTCTCATAGAAAATGTTGTATTGTCTATCTCAGCCAGCTTTCTCTGTTTCATTCCATATCTAATGCCTAGAAGGCACTTCTTCCTGTAAAATTTCAGAGAGCTGGGTTTGTGATCTGATGTAAGGGTACAAAGGCTGGTACGTAGTAGCTACTTGGCAAATGTTTATTAACTTTCATTTAATAACCCAGCTTTGTGGAGCTCCTAGATACCATAGGTATTTGCAAGAGACAGCAGGCACAGTTCTTGTCCCTGGCTAGTGGAGTTAAGTTGAGGAGGTGAGACAATTACTGAAGTCTATGGACAACTTAACAAATAATTTCTAAACCACAGGGAGTCGCTGAGAAGGAAGCTAGGAAGGGAACCCCAGAAAATCCCCGGGAGGTAGGAGTCACCCAGCACCTGGAGCCAGGAGAAAGACCCAGAAAGACAGGTACAGAGTGAGAACGCTGGGTCTCCGGACTGCCATGTAACTGGAGATGGAACAGGTCCCGGAAGACACCAACAGGGACCGATGGTGTTCTGTAGTCAGTAATGGAGGCGTTCCCACCTTCACACCAACAGCCACATCTGGAGGTTGGGAGTAGAGAGAAGCCACCTCCACATTACAGCAAAGAAGAGGGACACATTACCAGTGCTCAGCCCTGGACCAGGCTTCCCAGTATACTGGTGGATTATTGAGGTTGATGTGACAAAGGACACAGAAAACCGAAAGCAGAAATGAACCCCCAGAGGACAGGTTGGAGTAGCTCAGCTTGGGGTCCACCCGAACTACCTTTCTCTAAGAAATTTTCCCAGAGGATGTAAAAGGACAGCTGTCACCAGCCGGAGCCCAGCCAGCATTCCTGGAGTATCCGCCTGGGCCCTGGGCTCTCCATTGAGCTAACCCTTGCCCTAGATGGCAGCAGACAGTGCCAGTGACAATGTCTGGTGAGATCTGATGAGAGAATGGTGTCTGTCGACACTGACTGAACTTCAACCATGCTGCAGGCTCTGGGTCAGCTTCTTTTCTATGTATATTTAACCCTTACTACTGTGAGATAATTCTTTATTACCATGCCTGTTGTATAGATAAAGACTCAGGCTCCTAACAGTCAAGCCCCTTGCCTGCAGTCAGCCAGCCAGGCGGGGCCGAGCCAGGCTGAGAACCCTTCTCTGTCTCACTCCCCAGCCTTGTTCTTGCACATCAGGCAGAGATGGCTGGTAGCTCTCCACTTGTGCACCTGCAGCAGGCTCTGTGGGCCCGCCTCCCACGGAGAACGCGCCCAGGGCATCATGGGAGCCTGGCCCAGGGGTCCCATTTAGTGGGGTGGCTGCAGCCAACCAGTTACACAACAATGTGCTTGCCAAGTACTAAAACACACAACAAGCGGTTACTACCTAATTAACGTTGCCATTTATTACTTTGTTAAAAGATAATTAAAGGTTTAAAAGGTTACTTGTTGCTGGTAGAGACAATCCCCATTTCTCCCAGGAGCTAATCTTTTTAAGTCCTTAGGTTGCTAGATTGTTAGTAGTTTGGACTATAATGTGGCCTTAAATATGAATGTCTGTTGACATCCATGGAGATTCTTTGGCATTCAGAAAGCATCCCCAAGGACCTAGGAAGGGCCATGGCCTCATACCCAGCCATATGCCCATGGCTTCCGTGTTGGCTTTTCACTGCCTTGACTGCCTGTTTTCCCAGGTGCTTTGGGGAAGACGTGTGCATAGGTATCCCTGATGTGGATGCCTATGTGATGGTGCTGCAGGCCATGGAGCCCCAGATCACCCTCCGAGGCACCGACCGCTTCTGGAGACCCGCGGCCCAGTTTGAAAGTGCCAGAGGGGTGACCCTCTTCCCTGACCTCAAGATCGTGAGCACCTTCACCAGAGCCGAGGCCCCGGGTGACTTGCAGACCACAGGTACCCATACATTGGTGCACACTGGATTGTGGGTGGGGTGCTCAAGTGCTCCCAGCACTTGAAAATCATCCTTCAGGACCAGAGAACTGTTCACCGTAACAGAGTAATTTATAAACTTGGAAACAATGCAGATAAATAATAGGAGAGGAACGTGGCTTGGCAAATTCTATACACTCATAAATGATATGATGTTGGAGGACAGGCACTTACACTAAATGATAAGTGAAAGAGAAAGCAAGATGCAAGGGTATCTATACACAGAAAAATGCCAAGAAGGAAACAGCCTCAGGCCAGCAGCAATACCGCTAAGAAGCATGTTAAGAGTCCCATTTGTTTCCATTCCCTTCCACTTTCCCCTACAACTGCCAAACATTCTGTAGTGAGCATGTATTAGAAACACAAAGAAGGAAAAACCTGTACCTTAGTAGCTATACAGTAGAAGTCAGGTTTTATTCAGCAATATTACACTAAGCTCTCAGGAAACTTTCAAGTTATTATTTCCAACAGATTCATTATTGGGAGGGCTATTCAGTGGAAGTAGAATCATTTGAATTATCTTCTAAGGAGAGTTTGTTGCACTGAAAGCTTCAGTAGACACTGGTGGTGGGGAGGAGGGTTAAAGACGGAAGAAAGGGATGCAGGGAAGCAGAGAGTAAAACCTGGGCCCAGAGGTAGAGAGGCAGCAGCCACCTGAGAACTATCTTTCTCCCTCCACAAGCATCTGCTAATGAGGTGCTGGTGGTTGTGGACCCCTCGACCCGAAGGACTGCTCCTAGAACCGTCCTAATAACCCATTTCCTTAAACCACCCTGGTCCCCAGGGAATGGATTGCCTCGAAAATCCTTATCTCACAAAAAATAGATGATGTTTTATTACCTGTCCAGCAATGCAGTTTCCTAGTAACACTTCAGGGTGCATAAGGTAGTGTGATCTTACCTCTTCCCCTCATTGGTAGTAAAGAGTAAAATCAGACAGGAAAAGGAAGGGTCTCTGACCTCTGGGTTGCAGGCCACTGCATCTGGATTCACTCGGCCTGACACCAGCTTCCAGCAGCATGCAGAGGAAAGCAATTATCTGGGTCTGCAACTTGCCTTCTGTTTATGAGAGGAGCGTGTAGATCTCATGCAAGTGCCAAGAGCTATTATTAGAACTTTGTAGATTTTCCTCTTATTGTTGTTGGGACAATCATTATTATGGGTACCTTAAACAAACAGGCTAATTGCGTTTGCTACCAGGCCTCAGTGACCTACTCTGGTATCTTCTGTCCCCATCAACTCATGCTATGTTACTTCAATATAAAAGGTCAGCCACTTCTATGCACCCCCCTCTCTCTCTCATGCCTGGGTGTTAGTTGGTTCACACTGTTGCTCATACTTTGCCCTCTGTCTGCAAGGTCCCTCTCTCCTATGACATTATTGCTGGCAAACATCCCTACCTTCAACCTCTCCTCCAGAAGGTGACTCCACCACCATCATGACCCCTCGGGCCCCAACCTCTGGTGCCTCCCCCCAAAGCACAGTAGCAAACCCTCCTTGGTTCATTGTCTGCTTATTAGACCAGACCAGGACTCCTCAAGAGGGCTCCATCATGGCTGATTCACCTCCTGCTCAGCGCCTTAGGCGCAGTGGGAATTGAGGGAATTCCAGATGGAAGACACTGTCCATAATGCAAGCAGGAGAGAACAATGAGAAGGTGGCAGAGAACTAGCCTGACCTAATGTGACCCATCAGTCAGGCACTTCAGGGTCCAGGATGAGATCATCCAACCTGAGGAGAGGCTATGAGAAAACCCAGCACCAGGAGAAAGGCATTGGAAATAAAGATGCATATGCACTATGGCTAATGATAGGCCTTGCCTTAAGTGCTTATTAATGTGCTTTTAGATTTTGCCCATGACACACAAAGCCAGTGAGATTGGCAAGCATTTAAAATTTAAGCACTCAAAATGATTTATAATAATATATATCTAGTAAGAGCAAACACATATTTTTGGTATCACAAAAAAAATGTAAGAAAATCAAATAATGAGTTTAAGTAATTCTCTTATCTTTAATGAATCCTTTTAAATTTCTATCATCATAAATGTCTTATTATTCACAAAGTGTATTAGTCCACTTAATAAATAAATATTTAAATGATCTCAGTGCACAGATTTTTCAATAAAAGGCTGCAAGGTTTAGAACAATGGAAGACTGGCCCACAGCTTAAGACTTTACAAACTGTAGAATCAGAAAGTCATGGCTTCTGGCCCAGCACCTGCTTTGTTATCTGTGTAACCCAGGGCAACCCACCTACCTCTGGGCCCTCTCATTTCTACAGATAATAATAGTATGTCCCTTGTTGTGTATTTTAAATTCCCTCCTGGAGATTTACCGTGCTCGTGACCATAATAAAAGTTCTGAAAGTTTGTGCCTAAAAAAAAAAATAGTATCTCCTTTATGTCTTCTGATTAGATTTTATTTGTATAGTGCCTGGTGTATCACAATCACTCCATAAATACCAATGACTTTGATTTTACAGTGGGGTTTTCACTTAGGAACACTAATTTTCCCAGCATTCAAATCCTCAGACATTCCTTTGGGAAGCTGGGGGTCCGATAATTAGGAAGGACAGCTCGACTGACCCACAGCTTGCTAACTAGACTGACCAGTGTGCTTAGTTATTTAATTACTTTAGCCAGGAAACTCCATCTGTGCAGTGTGTGTGGTCCTGCTCCATGCCAGGCTCTGGGTTAGGTGCAGATGAGCCAGTCAGAAAAGACAGTGCTTCTCCCCTTGAGAACTTAGGCATATTTGGGGGGCAACAGACACATACCATATCCACATGGGGAAAGCTAGGTGAGCACAGTGCAGGCAGGCTTATTTCTGGTGCCAAATGAGTAGTTTATTAGGCACCTACTATGTACCAGGATTGTTTGCAGTTCTCACAAGACCTTTGCCCTCTTCCTGGATGAGAAAATCAAGAGGCAGTTACTTCCTCTAATAGCACATAACCTTTCAGTGGCTGTAGTTAGTTTCACACCTTTTGACCATAATAGTCATACTTTGCATTCAAATTCATGCCACCAGCCTTGGAGGATTATCTGGACATCCATCAGAGCAGCGGAGGTGGTATTTGGGATCACACAGCATGTTCTCCTGACATAGCCTGTACCTGGAGTTCAAGCACACAGTAGTTCAGGGAGAAGCAGGGGCCTTTGTCTCACCTGTCCCCATGACTGTCCTTCTACGTGTCTGTCTTCCCACAGCCCCAAAATCAGCAGTCTTAGAAGAAATGCTGCACAACTTAGATTTCTGTGATATTTTGGTGCTGGGAGGGGACTTAGACCCAAGACAGGAGTGTTTGGAGCTCAACCACAGTGAGCTCCACCAGCGACACCTGGATGCCACTAACTCCACCGCAGGATACTCCATTTACGGTAAGCCACATTCAGCCCCGTCACCAGTGCTCTCCTCTCAGAGCAGCCTCCCCCTGGATCCAGGACTGTGAGGGCAGCTCTGTGACCTGTGGAGGTAGGGCCAGGTGGGCCATTTGACCTCAGCATGTGGACTTCTAGCCCCACCTTTGTTTAACACCTTCTGCAGCTTAAGGCCCTGGTATACCTGGCTTTCCTGGGGAAAGCCAGGAAACTATATGGATGGCTCCTGGTATAATCTTTGATCTCAGCAAACATTACAGCAACATTTGGAATATTAGACCAAACATTTAGGTCAGGGCCAAGATCAATTCTCAGAACTTCTTCTGCACCCTTCCTGCCCCTAACTATCTCAAGTTCTCACCCAGTACCAATTCAGAGGCCCAACATCCCCATAGCTGCAGCCTGTCTCCTCCACCTCCTCCTTTGCCTTCTCATGACAGACATGGTCTCTTGACACAGGGGTGGGCTCCATGAGCCGCTATGAGCAGGTCCTGCATCACATCCGCTACCGCAACTGGCGTCCGGCTTCCCTGGAGGCCCGGAGGTTCAGGATCAAGTGCTCAGAACTCAATGGGCGCTACACCAGCAATGAGTTCAACTTGGAGGTGAGCACGTCCTATGGTTGCTAGGGAAACCCAGGCCTACCCATTCATTCTTTCTTTACTCATGAGGCCTGCTCCCCCTGGCTCCCCTGCCTCTCCTGGTTAGTAGCACCTCCCCCTGCTCTTCCAGGTCAGCGTCCTCCATGAAGTGAGAGTGTCAGACACAGAGCACGTCAACCACCTTATTGTGCAGCCTCCCTTCCTCCAGTCTGTCCACCACCCAGAGTCACAGACCAGCATCCGGCGCAGTGCAGGTAGGTCACCTGGAGGAGGAACCTCAGGGCATCAAGTAGTGATAGTAGGCCATCCACTTCAACCTCGGGTGCCACACCTAGGAGGGATCCAGCTGCAGGGAAGCTGTGTGCCTTTCCTCTGAGGCATTCACAGCCTCAGTAGGAAACCAGTCAAGTACACAAAAAGTTATATACAATGTACTGTAACCGAGCTTGGTACAAAGGGCTTTTTGGTAAGTCTTGTTAGCCCATACCAAAGTCCTGTCCTATAATGAAGCTTCCCCCGAACTCTTTATATGTACACACATGAGTACAGTGTGAGTCCCCTACCCACACTTCCAGCACCTGCCACAGTGTATCACTATCCAGTGGGAATTTGTGTCTGACCCTCCCAGATCCCACAGAGCCTGGCTCTCAGTGAGAGCTGCCCTTTAATTTGAGGGGAAAGGTGAGTGATAGAAAAGAACTTATACTGACTATGTGCCCAACATAGATTGTTTCATTATTCCTCACAACCACCACAGGATAAGAATTATTCAGTCCATTTTATAGATGAAAGTGCGGCCCAGACCGGGAAGGTGCCGATCCAGGATCCTGTCAGGCAGATTGTAACCCATTACGCATGGATGTTCCTTCATGCTCTGTCCCGAGAGTGAGAGGGTCCTTTGTCCACCACTCCACGTGGGCTCCTTTTGCTTCCAGTTGTCCCAAGCATCGCCACGGTGGTCATCATCATCTCCGTGTGCATGCTGGTGTTCGTCGTGGCCATGGGTGTGTACCGAATCCGAATCGCCCACCAGCACTTCACCCAAGAGACCGAGGCTGCCAAGGAGGCCGAGATGGATTGGGACGACTCTGCGCTCACTATTACAGTCAACCCCATGGAGGTGAGGCCTCCTCTCCACCTGGCTTCACCCCTCCAGGCCTGAAGCCTGCCCCAACTCGCCCAGCACCACTGATCCTCCCCTTCTCGGAGGTCCTCCAGCCCTCTCAGCCCAAAGGGGCTATGTTTTCCCACCAGCTATGTTCACTGACTTAAAGAGTGTGAATTGCTCTCATGCTACAAACAGAACCAGGCTTTTTTTAAAGGCAAACAGCCATGTGGTGTCTATCCCCTTCTTTCCCCCACCATATTTAGCTCAGAGCTGACTAACATGTAGGGACTCAGTGTTGAATTTTTGATTAACAGCGTAAATTAGATGGCTGCTCCATATTGCCTGCAGAGCTCACGAAGGCTCAGAACAGGCTAAAACAAAAATACAACAGTAATACCTGCCATTTGCTGAAGCTCCATTATGTCAGACACTGCACAGGGTGCTCTCTTACACCACCTCATTTAATCTGCCCAGCAATCTGTGAAGGTTGGAGGCATCTTCCTCATTTACCAAGGCGGCAACTGAGGAAAGTGAAGTGTTCTAATTCACAGAACTGGTAATGGCAGTACCCACACTCAAACTCCAGGTTGTCTGCTTCTAACATTCATATCTTTACAGTTAGCCTGCAGCACCCAGATCTACCCCGTAGGGCCCCGCTCTGGACATATCAACATTAAGGGGCGCCACTTATATCATATCCTCTGGTCTTCGCCCAGGTTCTGGGTGGTGGTTGAGGTAGGAGTAAGAAAGTAAGAGAGGATCAAGAGGAATCAGTGAGAGCTAGAAAAAGGATTATGCCAGCCTGGTCCTCTCCCCCTCTGCAAGTCTCTAGCTCCCGTTTAAAGTCAGCATGCTGATGTGACTCCCCACACATGCTGTAGGTGTAGTGCTGAGCTCAGCACTGTGGAGCCTCTACAAGATCACCCCGCCTGGGGCATTCCAAGTGCCAGACGAGAGTATGCCTCCCCAGGGTGGACATGGCAGTGCCAGCAGCTGACGAAGCTTGAAGGACAGTCTCTGAGGCTGGGGTGGTTGGGGGAGGTTTCTTGGCGAGGTCAGATTAAGGAAGGCCCTGAAGAATGGGCAGGACCTGGGGAGCCAGTGTTGGCAGGGCAGGTTCTCCACAGAGGGGCAACGTCTGCTGGGATGTGAGGAATCACATCATCATGCTGACTTTAAATCGGAGCTAGAGACTTGCAGAGGGGAAGACGGGACCAGGCTGGAATGATCCTTTTTCTAGCTCTCATGGACACCTGCAGATCCTCTCTTACTTTCTTACTCCTACCTCGACCACTACCTAGAACCTGGGCACAGACCAGAGGATATAATGTGACTCCCCTTAATGTTGATATGTCCAGAGCAGGGCCCTCAGGGGTCCATCTGGGTGCTGCAGGCTAACTGTTAAGATAGACTTTTGCAGTCTGGTGCATCAATTCAGAATATAATTCCAGAAATATGACTTGAAAGGTATCACCAAAAAGCCGGGGGGTGGGAGAGCAGGGATGGGACTTAGAGAAAGAATGAGGTAAAATTTGAGAATACAGGTCGGGGGCAAGGAGTAGATATGGAAAATGAGGACAGTGAACTTTGTCCTCTCCAAAAGAACACAAGAAGGCAATACAGCTGTCTTGTCTTAGAAGATTGTCTGCTTCCAGAGACATTACATTCCCACCTGGAAGAGGGGTACAAGCTTAAACACCATTCATTCACTGAGAACCAAACAGTTAAGGCTCGGAATGTTCAGATAATAGGGTCCAAAGAGCAACCTTGGCCTCAAAGGCTCACTGTGAAGGATGGAGGGGTGGTGCCTACAGACCCATGTTAACTGGAGCCCACACCTAGCTATTTCTTGTCTTTGTCCTTAGCCCTCTGATTTGCCTTTCAGCAGAAGCTCTACCTACCAGAAAACCTATCTCCATGCCCAAGGATTTAGCATTAAAGAAAGGAAATTCCAAGGGGCCCCAAATATTTCCTTAGCAGAGGGAGAAACATAAGCTAAAGCCCTGGTGATCATTTCTCTTCCCTCCATGATATCCAGAAACATGGAGAACCAGGTCATGGGGAAGATGAGACAGAGGAAGAGGAGGAGGAGGAAGAAGCAGAGGAAGACGTCAGCTCCAGCAGCAGCAACTCAGATGACAGTGAAGAAGATGATGAGCAAGGGATGGGCAGGGGCAGACATGGGCAGCGTGGCACCAGGCAAGCCCAGCTGGAGTGGGATGACTCCACCCTCCCCTACTAGTGCCCGCTGTCTGTGCCTGCTCATGTGTCCCTTTTGTAAGCCCCACCCCTCGTATGCCCAAGTCTATCACATGTCACCTCTGATTTCTATGATAGGTCTCAACAAGCCTTCCCCAGTGTCCTGCAATCACCTTGATATCTTGGGGGCCTCCTATGTCCCAGCCTCCGGGAGGTTCCAAGAAGCGCAGTGTCCTCCTCAGTGGGGACTCCAAGATAGACTTTGTCTGATCGCCCCTGCTTATCTGCCCTGGGCATACCTCAGAGCGCTGCCTTTGCTCTCCTCCGCAGGGGAGAAATCTGGTCAACCTTTCTGTTGCTCACCTCTCCCGGCCCCTCATTCCGAAGCTTTAGGTCCCAGTTCACTGTGCGTGCCCCCGCTCTGTCGTCTCTCTCCACACCGACCAGCAGGTTTCCTGACTCTCCAGGATGTTTCCTAAAAACAGGGTGGTCGGACTTCACATGCAGAAGGTCTTAGTCCTTAATACTCTAGAGCCAGGCTCTTGCTGAGGCAGAATTAAGTTTGTGGGGGAAGGTGCACACACAAGCCCACGTGCAAACACACCCATATGAACACACATGCACACCTGCACTCCCCTTAGCTCAGAAAGCCTTTTTCCTCGGACTTTTCTGAGGCCACATAAGCTTATACGAAAAGTGTAAAGCCAAGCACAGGCCCTTAGCCACAGCAGGACCTGCCTGGACATGGGCTAAGATCCTGTGGCTTCCCTGCTGGGCATCCACCCCCATGCCAGGGCCCAGAAGGCATTCTACCTAGGTAGTGCCTCAAACAGCCGTAACCTGCCTGCAGCCAGGGAGCGGAGGAGAGGAGTGATGAGGTGACAGAGCTGGGCCGCATGGCAAGTGTGGATCCAGGAGGCGGGGTGGTGGACACCCCTGCCCAGAGTCTGCCCTGACTGTGGTCATCATGCTCCCACCACCTAATCTTATGGTCCCTCCTTCTTTATTTCACATTTTTTGCTCTCAAGATAATCCCTTCTTCTCTATTGTATTAGAGCAAGCATGAACTATACCAAGTCTAAAATGAAAGTTTGAAATTTGCTAGGAATTAGAAACATATTTGCAGTAATAATGGCTTCTTCTTTCTTCTTCTCAAAGGAGCAGCCTTTTGGGTGGAGGGCAAATACATCTGAAAACCTAATCTATTTCTTTCTTCCTTTTTTAATAAGGAAATCTTTTCCATCTCCATCCTAACATGGATACCTCGTGAGGAGAATTGTTGCTATAGTAACTGCTCTGTGATCTTTTGTGGCCAAGAGAATAGCAGGCAAGCATCGGGCCTCTTGCAGGACTTCACAAGGCACCATAGATGTCTATGTTTCAAATGGCGTGGGCTTTGTCCTCAGCATATCATCTGCCCTGTCCTTCCACTCTCCCCATATTTCCTTGCATGGGCACAGAATTAGCCCCTGGTTACAGTGGCATTTGGGTTCGAAAGAAAGCGTAGAATCTGTACATTCTACTTGCCATGCCATCAAAACAGAGATCCTAAGAAAGGGGGCTGCCATCAATTCCTGCATTCTGTCCCACAGCCACGAGGCTGCATCCCAGGCCTTTGCAAACTTCTGATTCTAGAAACTGTCTTATGCCACTTTATCTTTTCCCTCCTTTGAGCCTCACAATAGCCCCGTGAGGTCATTGGGGCATCTATATTTAGATGCATTTTTACAAAGATGCAGCCGCTAATTCAAAGACTTTCATAGGTACGGGCAAGATTGGGCTCCCCACGGTCCACTCCGAGCCCAGTGCCTACCACCACCCTGCTTCTCCTTAAGTTCAAATTTGTGCAATTCATGGGCATTGCTGAGTACCTACTATGTGCTAAGCACTTAACCTGTAACTGTGGCAAAGGGATTAAACAAAATGAGTAAGAAAGCTCCTCTTCACAGAGGACTTTATAATTGTTGGGGGTGGGCAGGGAGCTTACGGGCATACAACTGTCCAGGAGACAAAAATAGAGGGAGAGAGAGAGGAAGAACACATACCCAAACTCAGTTTTTCTTTCTTCTGGAAGAAAAACTGGCAGGACTTTGGGGCTTTAAGTTTATTGAGTGAAATGGATGTGTCTGTGAATTCTCCCAATAGCCCTTTTCCGTCAATCTGGGTCTGCATATCTGTAGGAGAAAATCTGTAGGATTTGCTAGTCCTCACAACCCCCTTGATTAAATAAAAAGAGATTTATCAGTTAGGTATTTAGGAGTTAACAGAACTTTCCCCAAAGTATGGCAGTAAAAGGAACACTTTTCATGTTTAAAACCAATTCTGTTGAACTGGGCTTTAATTTAAAATATTCAAGTCCGGTACTTGGAAGAGCACCTTTGTTCTTTTGGTTTAGAGAGGGTGGGGAAGGTATTCCTCATGCCCTTCAGCTGTTTCTGATGTCTGGTCACTTATTCTTGATTGATTGAGCTGTTTGGGGTATGTGAAGTCTCCATGTGTGTTGAGGTTTGCAGAAATGGGGGATGGGAGTGTGCAGGAGAAATGGTACTTGGTTAGGGCACCGGAGCTGAGGCCTTTGTCACTGGACCCATGTAGAGCAACAAAGGAGATCCCTGTCCGTCAGCAGCTGCTGTAGGTCTACCCAGCATGCCAGCTCTGCTTGGGCACCAAAGCAATGCTGCTGGGTCCCTGGGCCTTTACACTTTCCCAGCCACTCCTCCCCACCATGGATATAGTGAAAAGGGGCCTTTACTGAAGAGTAGCTGAAGCTTCGGCAAGTGTCTCAGGGAGTGAAGAGTAATAACTTGCTTTCCACAAAATTTTCTAAAATGTCTTCATCAGTGTTTCCTGCTCCATATGCTAGCAGCTGAAACCACGCACACAGATGGCCGGGACGCCCTGAAGCCTCTCATCCAGACATCAGCAGTGGTAGATGCAGATGCGTAATCAGAAGGGACAGCTGACCAGTGTGGCCACAGGTCCGACTGCTGCTTATCTTGCCAGGTGGATGCCAGATCCAGCTCTCTGGGGCTTGGAAACAGATAGGCTGAGAGCGGGCATTCAGGTGACAGGGAGGAGGAGGAGGTGGAGGTTGAGACAGAAAATGAGAATGAGCTGCCCGGTGGGGGAAGTAACCAAGTAGCTGGTCTCTTGCCATATGGCTCCTGACAGTATATTCTAGTAGGTGTAATCAAATACAGTAAATCTAACCAACAACAGCAAAAATGTGATTTCAGCAGGAACTCCTTCCATTCACACTCTCGAGCGTTCTAATCAAACAGGGTTTAGATTTCATGTCTCCGCATGTAACAAGGTCTGTGCTACCACCAAGGTTAAGATTCCTCGCGAGAAACAATGTCCTCCATCCCTACACATTCCCTAAGGGTCAGCAAGCCTTAGCTGTAATGAATCAGGTAAATATTTCAGATAGTTGGATCCTGTGGTGTCTGTTACAAGCACTCAACTCTACCCTTAGAGTGTGAAATCAGCCACAGACAGTGTGTCAACAAATGAATGTGACAGTGCTCAAAAAAAAACACTTCATTTATGAACTATGAAAAAGCAGGTGATTTAAATTCATATCTTTTTCACATGTCACAAAATCTTATCACTCTTGACTTTTATTTTCAACCATTTCAAAACATAAAAACCTTTCTGAGCCCACAACCAGAAGAAAACCAGCAGCCATCAGAAGTAGTCTGTGTGTCAGACCATTCATGCATGGGAGTGGTGCCACGTAGCCTCCGCTGCCAAAAAATAAAAAGCAAATTACTATCTTAGGCTCTCCACCCGCCACCCAGTGGTCTTTGCCTCCAATATGGACAAAAATCTATACAGTCCTTAATGAAGCCATTTTAAAAGCCTGTGTGCCAGGAAGAAGTGATAGCAAAAAGCAAAAAACACTTGTACTGTCGTTGACTATATAGCAGGCATGGCTCCCCGGAACAGAAAGCCCTGACTCCAGGAGTTGAGGACCCCTGAGCGCCCTTCCCCACCCCCCCGGCTGCTGACTAATACCAACGGCAGCACAGTCATTCCCCACCACCCAGCTGGAGGATTTCTAAGCAGGGGTGTTCATTATCTGGACTGATTAACATTTCAGCCCCACTCATGTCATCACTCTAAAAATGATCCTAAAGAGCTGTGACTGTTTCAGTCAATAGCAACATCATCAGTAGAAAGCCCAACCCAGCACATTTCAAAATTAGCAGTCTTCTTGACACTTAGATTCTAGCAAGGGGAAGAAAATGAGGACTTTTTCTTAACCATCCCTTCATTTAAATAAATGAAGTAGGTTTTACCAAAACGCAAGGGAGTGAGTCTAAGTCTTTGAAGGAATTATCAGTGAAAAGTAGTTGATTTTCAGATCTGATAATTCTCAGGCCTTTGAGGGATGCCCAGAGTCTCCTGACATGTGTGCTGGCAGGTAGGGGCGGTAGACGGTACCACATCTGCAGCAGACTTTTATCGAGGCTGACAAGACAAAGCCCTTGGCACAATTTAATTTTCATGTAACTGCTTTCCATTGTCCAGCTGCAGGCCCGAGAAATAAGCAAGCAGAGTCTTGAGGTCTACTCCAGTGCCTTCTCTTCCCTGTCTTTATTTGCTTTACTTTGTAAATTTATTCTCTACTGTTTATAGAACTTGCTCTAGATTTTTGTTTTGTTTTGTTGGCACTAACTAAGAAAGGAGAGTTGGCTTTACAAGGGCTATAAATTAGAAGCCAACCTTGACTCTGTCCCAGGGAGACAAAAAAGAGAGAAGTTACCTTCCCCATCACCCCAGAAAGCAATCAAAATCCCCTGTATGCCAGCAGTGAACAGATGGGATTCTGTGTTTGCAGCGTTGTTCAGTGTGATTCAGCAAATCCTCAGAGTGCCAGACACTGCTGCAGGTCAGGGGAGGGAGGGTGAAGGGGACCAGGCTGTGCTCCTGAGGATGTGGCCTCACCAGCCGCTGGGAGGTTCCACCACCATCTACTAATCAGAATGTCTAGATGTGGGGCCTAGACCTGTTTTTTATATAATAGTTCTCTGATTCTCATGCGCTCTGAAGTTTGAGCATCACTCACGTAGAGGATGATGAAAATGATTTTCATTGGCATTGGGAGAAAATGACTGTCAAGATAAAATGATGAGTTTAGTGACAAGAAAGGGCCAAAGCACACTGCCTCCTCCCACTCTCCTAAGGCCCCCCCAGACTCCAATATATGTTCTCTGGTGCCATGGTTTCAGGAAAGCTTGGACCTAATCCTAATTCCAACCCTCCCTAGGAGCCACAGCATGGAAGAGGTATTAGTGAGACCACCAACCCCTAGCAAGGTTGCCATCCAGTCTTCTTTAGGCTAAGAAGACCCCTCTGGGGCTGCAGTGACGACATCATGGCCGAAACCCACAGGAACATTGGTCCCCACACAGCACACATGCAGGTGGGGCCTGGCAGGATGGAGGAGGCTCATTTAAGGATGCCACCATTTTTATAACAGGACTGAGGCATACAGCGTCATAGCCCAAACACCAAATTGAGTGGAGCATCAATGACTTTTCTTGGTAGGATAGTAACTCCTCCTTATATTACTAAAAGTAGAAAATGAAAACCAAAAGCAAACCTGCAGTCTCCTCTAGAGGCTGATTCTGTCTAGGACGTAGAATGCCTAAGACCTACAAAGTTCCAGGTTCTATCAATTCCCTGTCCCCCATCACACACACACATTTGTCAATAACCATTGATTTAATTTATGTCAGAACTCTGGCAATGTCCATGAGCCTTGGTAGGAGCTGGTTGATGCTCTATCAGTCATTTTTACCTAACTGTGATGTAGAATCTGTCCTCTTCTAGGGATTTCTGAGTCTGGTGTCAGATAACTGGGGCACTGGGCTGTTGAATAGAATGACAAGAAGAAAGGGTTGGGAAGGGACCCAGATATGTGACCTTGGAGACCTGGACCTGCTGTGTCAGCCCCAAGAACCCCAATTCCTTGAGCTACATCCTGGGTTTTCTCAGCAGTCTCCTCACTGAGTCTCTACAATTTGCCAAAAGGACCACCTGTTCCTCGTCAGTTCAGTGCAGGGAAAGATCTGATTAAATTCTCGGCCAGTCTAGACCACTGAGAGCTTATCAAGAGTAACTCATTTCTAACAGCTTATTCCATTATTCTAGAACACAAAGAACTTGCCCGTTGTTAGCTGCTGAGAGAGCATGGCGCAACCAGAGACCCAAGAGGGGAAGGTGAAGTATTTCTCCATGTCACTTCACGTGACAGAAGAGGTTTGCTCTCCAGTCTGGCCTCTTAGTGATTTCTCTGATGAAACATTTCTCTCCCAGTACATTAAGTCAATTTTATGTTTCCCTGAGGTCACTCATTTATTTCAAAGCCTTCTGTAGGACAAAAGGACAAGGTAGTACACAGCAGGAAGGGGATGGAGAGGCCTTTGGTATTCTGGAAGAGGGGTGGATTCTGTGCTTGTCGGCAGAGCAGGATCTGGTTCCAGTCAGGTCGGGGCAAGGAGACATTTTGGACTGAAGGTCAGAAGCTCAGATCCAGCCAGACAGTGCAGAAGTGGGGTGAATGAGCACTGAGGGGTAACCAGTGTTGAGTCAGGGCACAGCTGAGACGTAGGTGTGGGAATGGTCAAAATCCACCAGCCATACGTATGTGCCAGAAGCAGTGGAGAGAGTGGTGCCCAGTACTGTTAGTGCCTCCAGTTCAGAGAGGAGCTAGCACCTCTGAATCCCTGGGGTCCCTTGTCTCCAGAGTCACATCCCACTCCCTGAGGACTTTCCATGAGCTGACTGGACTGCTGGGAACATAGTGGTGTTAGGCTCGAAAGTCTCCACCATGAAGACCTCCTGTCCTCGGGAATTTCTTCTTCTCTACTCTAGTGTCTATTATAGCACCTGGCGCACAGCACCTGGCCCAAGCATGTGCCTGATGAATGTTAAATTAAGTAGAATACCAGAGAGCACTTGACCTCACTGAATGAACTAGATATGAAAAATTAAGGTGTTCCGCTGGAGAAAGACTCCCCCATCTTTTCTCTTAGTATGCAAGTCGAGGTCTTTCATCAAATCAGATGGACATGACAGAAGGGGCAGTAGGGAGAGGACAATATTCCTGCTGCCCAAATGGAAAAAGAACAGGAGTGGCTTATGCAGAAAGTGCTCCCTTCCCCCTCCCCCGAACTGCTAGCTAGAGCCAGTAAAGGAGCCCAGGAGCGGAGGGGTTGGAGGTGGGGCTTGGTGAGCCCCTAGGTTCTTCCCTCAGGTCATGGCCAGCTCCTCCTCCAGGGAGGAGCCAGTGTCCTCCTCTGTTAATAGCCCCAGCCTGCTGCCCTCCATTTCCTTTGATCAAATTCACTGCAGAGGAAATTCATCAAGATGAAGCTCAATTCCCAATAGACTAATGAAAAGAGGGCAACAGACGTGAGAGGAGCCAAAATGCAGACGTGTATATTAATCACAGGCAACAGAAACATGTCGACTCTAATGTCCGCTTGCTTTTATCTCAAAATAAAAATGTATCTCTGCTGCCCAGACCCCTTTCTCTGAACATTTCAAAACAAAAATGGGTCACACGGGTGTACACACCCACACAGGTGCATGTGCACACACACACACACACACACACACACACTGAGGTTTCTTTTCCCAAATAGGAAGAACTATCGGAGAAATGAGCTCATGGCTTGTGTCTATTTGCAGAAGCAAATGTACAGAATCAACCACTAGTCTCAGCTACAGTCCCCAGTCTCTCTGCAGATAGGGGAGGGGGGAGGTACGAAGAGGCATCATCCTCAGAAGGGATGAGGGCTTTTGCTTGTGCCTGTGAGTGGGGTGTGAAAGTAATGCACACATACACCCTGCAGACAAATGTGCGGCCACCCTACTCAACAGAGAACACATGGATATGGGCCCACCCACCCCTCTCCCCTCAACTCCCTTCATGATTGCAAAGGAGCATCTGAGGTGTGGGATTCACAAGAGGCCATGCTCATCTCCACTAGCAAACTCCTGGGTGGTGGAAATAAAGCAAAAGCTGTTGGGGGAGAGGAAATTAGACCTGCTACCCAGGAGTGATAGCTCAAATATAAGAGGAATTGAGGAGAAAGGTGACTCAGAGCTGGAGAGAGGACAGGGAGACTTGGTAGACATGGCAGCAAAAGGATCAACCTTCTCCCAGGAATTCAGAGCACTGCTGTGTTGTAAGCCATATCTGTTTCAGGAGATTCTAGCTGATCTGGCAGTATGGCTGCAGAGGCTGTCAGAGCAACCGCTCCCAAGTCAGACTGCTTGAAGGTGATTTAGCTCTTAATTGAACTAGTTGTGATGGATCAGTCCACCTGATTGCTTCCTGCCTGGCCTCTGTGGCTTCCAAAAAGGGTTGTTGATGTCCTGAGCTGGACAGATTTGGAAGGAGATTGAAGAAAACCAGTTGGTGAGCTTAGAAAAGGAATTGCATGTAGAAGTTGGCTGTTTTCAAAGAAATCTGTAGGCATTTAGAGTTGGATGTGTTAGTGGCATGGGTATTATAAGGTCAGTAAGATAAGAGTAAGAATGATTTGGTAGGGCATTAGTTCAGATCATTAGTTAATGTGTTAAATATAAATTACCAGACATGAGGCTAATGCTATCTAAATATATGTGTATCAACATAGGTACCTATCTATAATACAGAAATAAATAAGATATAGAGTGAAGGTGTCAATAGTCCCTACACATTTTAAATTTATTGAATGCATTGTTCCAGATGTTACCATTTTTCTTACTTTTGTTCACTTCTAGCTCTCAAAGCACGGGGAACTGCCTGGCACGTAGTAGGAGTTTGGTAAACATTTGGAAATTGAAGGTCCACCTTGTCACTGTTAGGGAGACTCCACAGTATCCCTAGACCCATAATTACAGGAGCCACCGAGAAAAAGGTCAGTCACATCCCCCTCAAAGATTGTCCCAACCTGTGTCATTGTGAATGCGCAGATGTTAAGCATTGTTCAGTCCATTTCAAGCTGTGGGTCTGGCTCTCTGGTTGGGAGGAGCGATGAGACGTTGCACGTGATGGCTTTGTCCTGCTCGGCCACATCTGCGTAGCATCTAGCAACTATCTCTACGGACCCCAGGCACCCCTTCTGTTGCCACTGCCACCTCCTGAGTGCTTTTGAATGTGGCCAGCATCAGGCACCATTTTAAGGGTCTGGCTCAGTCTTACCCTCTGGCCAGATCTGGAAATGCCACCATCATGTACATACATGACTTGGCTGTTCCCACAACCTAACCTCGGTGTATGTGGGGAAGGTCTGAATAAGGAGGCGAGGCAATAGGACGTGCCTTAGAGTCTCTGTGCTATTAACACAGCCAAGAGGGAGAAATAGGAGCATTTTGTAGAAGCCCCAGTGGTCACTGCTACCCCTAGGCAGTGCCTGCCAGTCTGCCCAGAGCCTTCCCTAGTGGCCCACTGCACCTGGGGGCTGGGCCTGTGTGGACCTGATGGACACCAGACATCTGAGCTCTTCTGCCTCAACAATGAATCCTAGTAGTCTAGAAATGTGTTTATTTGCTAAGTATACTATTGTGTGTGTGTGAGTGTGATACCATGCAAACTTACTGTCTTATTAGAAGGACTGTGTCCATTTATAGAGTGTTGACTGATCAGGAGAGCACATTGCTATCTTGCTCAATGAATGAGACTGTCCTGTCACAGAAGACCAGACAAAATGTTCTTTCCCCTCCTCATACCTCGTCTCAGCATCCTTTCCCTGCCTGACTGAGCTGTCCTATCCACTCTAGGCCAACAGAGTGATGGGCACTGAGAATCTGTATGTATATAAAGATATAGAAAGAAATAAGAACCATCATGGGAATCTGTTGGGCTTCTTTCATGACTGTGATCTTACCCTTATTTGAGTCACAAACTTTAAATTTCTAACAATTAAGATTCTTGCAATTTCCAAGTAATTTGTTAAATGCCTATTCAACACAGACAGATATTTATTTTCAGCCTTGGCTTGAAAATGCCTACAAACTGATTCATGTTGGTGGTCATTATGACACTCTCTGTGAATTGGTGAATAAATATGATTTTAGAATTTCACAGTAAAGAGGATGTCCGAGTGTTTTATTCTTCAGGCTATTTTGATGAGGTGAGATGCCAACAATTGCTGTGAGTGGGCAAATATTCTCCAGAGCTCTGTCCTAAATCCATGCATGGAGAAGACAGGAGTGTGGGTTGTGAGGGAGGTTGACATGGGCAGTGGGTGCCTACTTGGCCTCCATCAGGGCACCCTGTTCCCCCCGAGTGAGAAGGACAATCCTGGTATATTCATTGCCACATGCAAAGTGGCAGGACACTAAACTGTGATCTTAATCCCAGAAGCAGATAGTTCTTACTACTGGCAAGAAGACAAGTTCTGGAGGAACTGGGGGCATCACAGAGGGCGGGTGGGCTGAGCACAGTACTGGCCCTCTCCGGGACTATCTCTTCCTGTACTTCCATGAAGACATCCCCTAGCCCCATGGTCCCCTTGCCCCTGAGGCCCGCTGAAGATGGACTGCCCTCCCCACCCAAACTTGATGGAGATTAATTGGGCTGGCCTAGTTGTTAAACTTTACCCTTTGTTTCCAGAGGAATGAATGGAAAATCCAAACCAAGTTTGCTTGGAAGCATAGGAGTCAGAGAGAGAAATCACATTGCACAAGGCAGGGCCGGCATCTGCCTGGCACAACAGGCATTGCCATTTTTTAAACCCCTTCTCTAAATCATACATGATGTTGTAAACCAGTGTTCCCTCATAAAACAGATGAATAATAAAACAATAAACTGCCTCTGACAGCTCCCCCAGCCTTGTGCCTGGCACCAGCCCTTTCCACCCTCCTCTCCCCTCCCCTGCACTCATCTTTCTACATCCTTCTCACCCATGACAAATTCCTTTCTTTCCTTTTTTTTTTTTAAATTTATTTATTTATTCGTACAGAACTGGGGTACAGGCCAGAGATGTGGAGGGTGAGAGGATTCACTAGAGACAGAGTGGGGAGCAGAACAGGCAGATCGGCGAAGTACACTGCTGAGGGGAGCAGCAGGCAGGCAGGAGAGGTCTGCCACGCCATGTGGATCTCCTCCGGGGCAGGAGGGGATCGAACTCATGCGGAAGTGGCCTCAGCTTCGTAGTGCTGTGCTTTAACCTGCTGTGCCACCAGGGAGGGCCCACAAATTCCTTTCTTTCTAAAGAGCACCCTCACCATCTTGTCACTCCCCAGTCTTCTGGCAAAATCCACACCCTTTTTTACCACCAGCATTGCACCATCTTCTCCCTAATGCACCACACAGGGAGTGTTTCTGCACAGTTAAGACAGCATGTTCACCATATTGAACTCTGTTTCCTTACAGCACAGAGAATCAGCAAGGAGCCCAGGAAGTCTCTACCTGTTTAGGGTTTCTTCTAGCTTCCCTTGATGTGTGTGTCACACACACACACACACACACACACACACACACACACATACTCACATCCCTGGGCTTCCTTGGAGCCCAGTGTAGCAAGCATAAGGCCAGATCCCTGACATCCCCCCTCCCTTATCCCAAAACTATCCATCCCATGTTCTTTCTGTCTGAGAAACAGATTCCTTTTCCTTCTGTGCCCATTCCCTCTTATCCCTTTCAAAAGTATCCCCTCATCACTCAGTCACCACAATAACCTCCTCTTTAGCTTCCATCTCCTTGACTTTACCTACATGTGACTGATGTTGCTGAAGCTTCCCTAGGAGTGAAGAAGGGGACGAGCACCCAAGGTGCCCCAAGCCCCTAAGTCCACTTATCAGACTCAGTGAGAAGCACTTGGTTGAAACCAAGAAGGCACCCTTCCCAGTCCCCAGGCTGTAGGTCCACTTATCTGTCTGACTGGAGAACAACCCCAAAAGGAGGGTGCCCCCACCAACTTAGTCAAGAATGGAATGTCCACAACACCCAAGCAATCACATAATGTTAAAGCAGGGGGCCAAAGCTAATTTAGGAAAGCTAGGTAGACTTATGGGCCTTGGTGCCTGGGAGATGCTTGCAGGCCCAGTCAATGAACAAGAGACACAAGGTGGAGACACCCAGCATCAAATCCCATTCCTTGCCCACGATATACAGATAAGCACCTACTTCTCATTACCCCAGTGACTACCAACTCGGGACCTCTCCCCACTCAGATTCTTCTTACTCTTATTATCAATAAATCTCTTGCTTTTCTTTAACTTTGGTCTCAATGTTGAACTCTTTCCTCACTCAAGACAAGTACTGAGAAAGAGCCCACATGGGGTCCTCTGACTCCAGGCCTGCTCCCAAACCCCAATTTAGGAGATCCTCCCCCAGGCTGACAAGCTGCAGAAACTTGAAGTAATCTGCAAGTTCTACAGAAGGCTCCAGAACTCCAGGGCTTCTCCAGTCCCTCAGGGCAAATAATCTATATTCTGTGGCTTAAAAAAAGACCTGGCTTGTCAGGTTTAAATACAGGGTTTCATTTTCAACGAATTTGGTAGAGGGTCTATGGCAAAAACATAGAAATAACAACAAAAACAAAGTTATAAACTACTGAGCTATGATTGAAATCCTGGGCAGAATTTTCACCTCAAACTCTCCTGTGTTCATGAGGCCACACAACTGAAGGAGAGCTAACAATCAGGCCTCTTCCTAACGTAGTTGGAAATTTTCTAAATGGGGACTGACCACCATTGTTCTTTATGCTCTTTTTGGTATGTTTGGTGAGCTTTAACATCTCTAGAAGCAGTGTTGCCTTGTGGGCAGCTTGGTACAGGGTCAGGTCACTCCGAAACCTTGTCTTCACCAAGATTGTCTTGATGGAAACTTAGACAATTCCCAAAAAAAAAAAAAAGGAGGATACATATTTCTTGGCTCTTGTAATCCAGCAGAGACAAGAGCTGAAGTGTGACTCGGGCTCTCTCATGACTGCAAGCAAATGCTTGCTAAGGAGATGTGGAGTAGAGATATTTATAGAGCTATTTTATAATTTACAGATGCCATAGAGAAATAGAGAGCTCTATTTTATATACTTAAGTGAATATCCATATGTGTGTATATATATTGAATGCATAGCTTGGAAGGATGGGGGAGGGGTGACTATGCCCAGATGGGGGAGAGCTTACCCTGGTGCAGGATGAGACCAGCTTCTCCGCAGAGCCCTGGACACCTTGTGCCACCCTGAAAAGCTTCCAACCAGGTGACCCAGAATGGCCTATGGATGTCACTGACAGTCTAGAATCTGGTGTTACTGTTACAGGGAAACCTTAAAGGGACATGGGATGGCCTGAGGATGAGTCCTCACCCACACACTTCAAATAAGTCAGGACAAGACCCAAGGGCAGGCAGACAAAGACAGATTAATAAAAGGTTTACTTACAAAAGAGAGAAATTGGTCAATCCTTCCAACCAGTAATGCTATCTCAGCTGGGAACCTGGGTGCAGGCAAAATCAAGCTGCCCCCTGAACCCCACTTGTCTCTGATTTAATGCCAACCATGGCTCCTTAACTTAGGTCCCAGTAATACCTCTTTTAAGAATTCAAGGGTTGGCCCTCCTTGGTGGTACAGCGGGTTAACGCACAGCACTAAGAAGCTAAAGCCACTTCAGCATGAGTTTGATCCCCACCTGCCCTGGAGGTGACCCACATGGCGTGGCAGACCTCTCCTGACCTGCCCGCTGCTCCCCTCAGCAGTGTACTTCATCGATCTGCCTGTTCTGCTCCCCACTCTGCCTCTGGTGAATCCTCTCACCACCCCTGTGCCTCTGACCTGTACCCTAGTTCTGTATGCACAAATAAATTAATCTTTAAAATAAATAAGAATTCAAGGGCTATGGATATCCCTGGCATGATGGGACTTGTAATCCTCTATGCCTCAGCACCTGGAATCTCTTTGGCATGGAGGTGGAGGTGTATAAAACGTCAGTGTATAGAATTCCTCTGGGACATACTGTTCCCCCAACATTAGCGATGTGGAGAGACTGGGTCTGGCAGGTTGAGCAGGCATGGTGTTGCAGGGGTACAAACTCTTGCAGCTAAAGAGCATATCCTGCTCCCACCATGCCCACCATGAAGCCAGTGCAGTGACAGCATTGACCCTCCAGTACACAGCGCTTGGGCAGAGGTGAGGACAGGACCTCTGCACTTCCCCACGGGGGCCAGAGACTAAGAGACATCTTTTCTCTATATCACTGTAGTTTTGTTTTGTTTTGTTGTTTTAAGATTTATTTTATTTATTTATGCATACAAGAGCTGAGCTCTAAACCAGGGGTACAGGGGTAAGAGGATTTACCAGAGACAAAATGGGGAGCAGAATAGGCAGATCCACTGAAATACATTGCTGAGGAGAGCAGCTGGCGAAACAGGAAAGGTCTGCTGTGTCGTGTAGGTCACCTCCTTGTCTGGGGATCGAACTCATGCTGCAGCAGCTGCGGATAGCTTCATAGTGCTGAGACTCAGCCCCTTGTGCCACCTGGAGTCCCCATCATTGTAATTTTATAGCTGATATCTTCTGAGGTCTCTCACAGCCCTCAGTTATATAGATATAAAAGTCAATATATTGAGTCATGGACTGTACGGGCAGATGGCGCCGGAGCTGCCTGTGATGGCCGCAGTGGACAGCAGAGTGGTGACACCAACAGGCTGAAGTGGCCGGTGTCACCCACACCAGGACAATGGCCAAAGATAAAGGATCCACAATTTCTTCCAAGACCCAGTACTATGAGCAGCCGCAGCATCCCTGGGAAATGCCTTCTCTCCTCTCGGCAGGCTCTTCACTGTGTTAACAGCCTGACTTGCTCACTCTGGGTCACTCCAGCAAAACCATGGCCAGAACCTGTTGGCAAGATAAATCACCATACAAAATTTCCCAAAAGCATCTCTGTCTCTTCTTAATGAATTTAGACTAAAATTGAATGGTCTGGGGCTTGGACATATTTTCCACTGTAACAAATTTTGTCATGGATATCATTTTTAATATATGTACTTGACTATTTTAACCTTATAAATATTTTATTAGATTTTTATCTCCATTTCCAATGAGAAAATAAGGCATAGAAAGGTTAAGCAAATAATCTGAAGCTA